TATTTATTTAATTGGATTCAGCTTGGTACTAGAAAAAAGAGGAATGACTTGGTCATTTAAAAACATCTAGAAACAGCCAACACATAAATAAAAACCAAGATTTGAACAGTACCAGATACACACCAATTTTCTAATCAGTAACTAGTCACTTTATAGGCCAGATCACTGAAAACATTTGAAAGTATTAGATTGTATTCCAAGAATATAAACACTTCTCATCTTTTCTAAACTTTTTTTTTGAAGGCAAGTATTTCAAATTGGCCTTGAGCTCATGATCCTTCTTCCTTATCCTCTCAATTTTCACAAACATTTAATATTTTTCTTTTTAATCTTCAAGATAACTTCATGTACATAATGATTAACTGATAGGAATAATAACACAAAGAACTTAAAGAAAAATCTTTCTAAAACTAATTCCATAAAAAACCTTGCTATAGTTTAACTATCAGTGTCTTCAAGAGAAACTCTTAAGTTTGTACCACCACAGCAAAATACTTACTAATTTATTTTATAAATATTAATGAGTCACTAGTATTAACTAACATGTGAATGCGTGGTTCAATTCTATGAAGATCTTAAGATACATTTTAGAGAAAAAGAGGACTGTCTTCAGAAGGGTATGACCTAATACTTTTTGCAAATGAATATGCTTAAGAACATAGCATGATAAAGCTCCCATTAAAAGTGAATCAGTGTTATTTATGGAATTTTAAAGGACATATGGATTACCTCCAGCAATAAAAGTCAGCTTTCTTGAAATAACGAAACAGAAGGTGTTATTTAGTAAAATATATCAAGAAGCACACCAGTTAAGCTAGGGCTCTGGGGTCAAAAAGATGTCCTCTCAAATCCTATGTGTGATTTTCATCAAGAACTACTTAAACCTCAGAAAGCTTAGCCACTTCATCTGTAAGATTAATATAATAAAATAGTATACCCTCACAGGACTAAATAGGGATTAAAGAATGTAACAGCAATAAAATTAGTACAATGCTTGTTACACAAATATTGGCCAATACTACTCTTTACTTTAAATTACAGATATCAAGAAGTGTAGAAAAATGGGAAAATAAGACAAAAAAGTTAAACCATAAACTTTTAGTGTCTTTCTACAATTTGGGGGGTATTAAAATACTTTATTATTAAAAATGTAAATGAAAGGGAAATGTAAGTAGAGGCTTACCCTTCAACTTACAGAAAGTCCTTGAAGGGTTAAATAAAAGTATACGGCAATATGGATGGAAGGAGGTAACAGAAAAGGTAAAGTTATTTTACAAGGGGTGAGAAAGTAGACTGCATCCCTTCTAATGATTCAAATGCAATTCAAAATAAAAATATATGCCAAATAACAATCTGACTTGGTCATAGGCTAGTGTAAGAAAATCAAACATGAAAAATCTTAAAAAGTTTTGAAATATTATTTTAAATTTGACATTTCAATAAAAATCTATTGACAATGATATCTGCATTATAATATACCCAGGGTAATAGTATTTATCTTTTCTTTCATTCCTCATCAAATTATTCAAAACAGTTTCTA